TTCAGTGTACTGCTGAGAGCACTGCATCTTAAAAGGGTCTGAAATCAACATGTGTTCCAAAAGCTGCAAGTTATGTCTAAACTCAAAAGAGAAGGTGAAGCAACAGCAGTGTGACCCCAGACCATGAGGCAGCCAACTCTGTATCCTAAGTGCCCACCTCTGCAGGAGTGAGACCTGGGCAGCATCTACTGAGCAGAGGAAAGGCTGAACAGTTTACACCTTTTGCTTTCTCCCGTGTCCTGCTGAGGACATAATCAACAACTCTGATGTCTGGGGGTGTGGTAATTTCATCGCAATGCACTTATTGCTAAGCTGTTAAAGTCTACACTGATGTAGCCCTATTCTATAGATAGTTAACAGCTGTGTCACCAATGACCTACTGCATGAACAGGCACCTGAATCAAAATCTCCACCACACCTACAAGCGAGATTTACTGTTGTTCTCCGTTGACTCTGGCAGCTGGGAAATGGTCGCTGATGGTGGGGACCTAAAATGATTGTTAGGAACGGCATCAGAAAAGTTGAGCAGAAATGATAAACTCATTTGGGTGAGAAGTGGAGCCATACAAAACACAGCCCAGTGCATTATACCCCTCCTGAGCCTACTGTTTTCTTCTTAGAGGCAAATTTGCTAGGGGCTTCTGAGAGACACCAGGCAGTACTGAGTTGATGCACACTATTACCTCATGAGATGAAAAGCCATCATCACCTTTGAAATATTGTGCCATTTTTTTAGATTAACCTTGAAAGGCAAATCAGGTCCAGAATTGAATATTATACGAAGAACATCTCCGACAATAATTCAGCAGTCCGTCAGGAATCCTGAAGGTGTATTGCACTGAAATGTCTGTCTAGATTGTGTGACACTGAGCAAATTGACCAGATAATAGGAGTGACAGAAAGCCTGGCCGCAGAGGCGTACATAAAGGCCCATCTTGAAGAAGAAAGTTGGAGGCGTTTAGGTTGACAATTGTTTTGGTGTCTGATTCCATGATAGGCCAGAATCTGAGAACACTGTTGTTCGTGTCTTTTGGCACAATGGTGGTGTCCTGAACTTTGAGTCAGAAGATCTGAGTTCAAGTCTCACTGGCCTGGAGCTGCATCATAACATGTCTAAACAAGTTATTTAAAACATTTTATAAAGTGGGTTTTTTGTGGAATGATGGTAGTTTCTCTATCTGTAGGCTAGAATGTCTGGGTTTCAAGTCCTGCCTGCCCTGGATGTGTGTCATAACATGTCTGAACAGGTTAATTAAAATATTTTTTATTTAGAAGGGTGGTATGCTCTAAGAGGTTACAGAGGAATGAAGTGATTTATAAACGAGGATGAAAACTTTAACATTGTGGAGATGCTGCATCAGTCACAGGGGTGCTGGCTGAAGAGAATTTGGCATGTGATACAGTACAGGTAGGGAGCATTTTGGAGCGGATCAGTTTTATGTGCATGCTGATTCCAAACAGTTAATTGCATTCAGTAAATTGGACAAACCTAATTGTGTAAACTGTGAAAATGAATAGGTCAAGGACAATTAAGATGGGCTGAAAGGCCTTCTGTTGTTCTAACCTGAGAATTACTATTGTTACTCTTAATTCTTTCTAATTCACTTGTGGGAGTTAGATGCCGCTAGCTGGGCCAGCATTTCTTGCTCAATCCTAGTTGCCCTTGAGGTGGTGGTGAGTGCCCACTACTGCCACCTCAAGGGCAGCTAGGAACAGGCAAGGAATGCTGGCCCAGCCATTGAGAGACAAGGGTCTGGCTGACATCCTGTGGCAAACTGATAATTAGGCAGCTGCGTTTTGACTGCTGTTGTGTGTGGAAGTTAGTTGGTTGATCAACAGTTTTAAATCAACAATTCTGAGGGTCCACAAATAAATCTTTTGAGCAGGTCCGATAAGCTCCAAAAGCCTTCAGTAATATATAATTTCCTCCTTATAACTGGACTAGAATCACCATCTATTTCAGGCAAGAAGTGTGTAACCTTCAGTTACAGATTGTAGCTTCAGTAGCTAACCTGCTTTTTGGTTATGCAGACATAATAATGTGGCAATTCCAGTCAATCATGAAGCTTTGTGCATGTAAGTTTATAATGGGTCTGTCATCAAAATAAATAAGCTGCATCTACTGAATTGGAAGGTAAATATAAATTGCAGAGTTTTTTTAGGTTTCATGTGAAGTTGAAACCTTTTTAAATAAAAAGCATTTCTCTGGTGGTATTGGCACAGTGTGCGTCATCTGGTGTGAGTCAAGAGAGCTGAAAGGAAGCTTTATCTGAAGGTGGGAGGTGTTTATTCACAGTGCAGCTGGCAAAGCCAGGGTCTAGAGTGAAGGAAGGAAATGTCGAAGGGTGTTGGGTTGAATTTTAACTCTGGCTGTCGAGAGCAGGCAGGACCCATCCTGTTGCCTGGTGAAAGCTTTGGGAGATAAACACGTCGAGCCACGAAGTAGCCCTGCGTCAATCATTTCACTATAACCTCAAAATAAAGAGACAAGTATTTACTTTTATTCTTTCCAGTTTAGTTTCACATGTACACTGTTTTAAAGCTGGAAATATTCAGTAACATCAGAATGTTTTAAGTTTTGCCTGCAGTTTTTTGCTGTCTCTCCACTTTCCTACCAACGTGACATTCAGCTGGTTCTTAGTCATTCTAACAGGATGCTATGAAATGCTTGAGAACAATTTAAAAGTGATTTTCTTTATTCCCTAGATTTCTTTTATCTTGCCCTTTTGCCTTAATGTCTCCTCTCCTGAAGAGAATTTAAACTGGAATAAGACTGTTGAGACCTTGGGGCTTCATTGTGGGTGTGCACATCTCCTAGCCCCCATAACTATCATTGAGTCAGGCCAGCTTCTAAATAGCTTGTGGTTCATGCCACTACCACCCCCCCCCCCCCCACCCCATGTCAACTTATGTCTCCACCATTGCTCATTGCCATTGCTTTTATCAGCTGCTGACGAGGCTGAGACCCGGCTGTTGCTCTTGGATAGCATTTCCTGGAGCCCCGATGTAGGAATACATACTCATACACCCGATACATACACCCAAATCAATTGGGCTGTAGAGGTAATTATGTAGTGTAGTTTGTGTTCGTGCTCTTGGTAGGTGCATGATTCCAGTGTATCTTTCTTTGTGGTGACTACGTTAAAATGGAAGGAGTTCATTGTACTTGTAATATAGCTGGCTGCAGATTGATCACATTCCTGGGGAGAAGCAGGGTACAAGCAGAGTTGACGCAGAGTCAGTAGTTTTGTGGTGGCTGTGCCTGTTGGGAGTTTATTTCTAGCAATACCTTTGTGTTGAATTATCCTCAAACGGCACGGTGACTCAGTGGGTTAGCGGTCTCAATGCCAGGGACCTGGGTTCAATTCCACCCTCTGGTGACTGTCTGTCTGTGTAGAGTTTAACACATTCTTCCCATGTCTGTGTGGGTTTTGCCAAATTAACCATAGTGTTCAGGGATATGTGGTTTAGGTGCGTTAGCTACGGGTAATGCAAGGTTATAGGGCAGGGGTGTTGTTCTGGGTCGGATGCTGTTCGGAGGCTGTGTTGGGCCGAATGTCCTGTTTCCACACTGTAGGGATTCTATTTTTTTTATTCTAGTCAAACCATGACCTGCTTGTTTGTGTTTAATCATTCTGGGTTTGAGTAAGTGGTGCGTGTACTTAAGTAAGGACATAGTGGATAAACATGGACTTTAGCAAGGCTTTAGACAAGGTTCTGCATGGTAGACAGGTTAGTAAAGTTAGATCACATGGAATCCAGGGAGATCTAAAATTGGCTTGATGGTCACAGACAGAGGGTGATGGTAAGGGGGTCTGTAGCCAGTGGTGTGCTGCAAGGATTGGTGCTGGGTCCACTGTCTTTTTTGTTGTTTATATAAACGATTTGGGTGAGAATATTGGAGGTATGGTTAGTAAGTTTGCAGATGGCACCAAAATTAGTGGCATAGTGGACGGTGAAGAGGGTTATCTAAGAGTATAATGGGATCTTGATCAACTGCGCCAGTGGGCTGAGGAATGGTAAGCGGAGTTTTATTCGGATAAATGTGACGTGTTGCATTTTGATAGGACAAACCAGGGAAAGACTTGTACAGGTAATGCCATGACCCTGGGAAGTGTTGAACAACAGAGACCTAGGGGTGCAGGTATGTAGTTCCTTGACAGTAGCATCACAGTAGACAGGGTGGTGAAGAGTGTGTTTGTCACGCTTGCCTTCATCAGTCAGAGCATTGCGTAGAGGAGTTGGGATGTCATGTTACAGCTGTACAAGACATTAGTAAGGCCACATTTGGAGTTATGTGTACAATTCTGGTCGCCCTGCTGCAGGAGGGATGTTATTAAACTAGAAAGGATGTGAAAAAGATTTACAAGGAAATTACCAAGACTAGAAGGCTTGAGCTCTGAGGAGAGGCTGAATAGGCTGAGACATTTGTCCCTGGAGCGTGGGAGGCTGAGGGGTGACCTTGTAGAGGTTTATAAAATCATGAGGGGCATTGATAAGGTGAATAGCAAAGGTCTTTTCCCCAGAGTAGAAGAGTCCAAAACTAGCGGGTAGGTTTAAGGTGAGAGGGGAAAGAATAAAATGGACCCCCGAGGGACAACTTTCCCGCACAGAAGGTGGGTGCATATATAGAACAAGCTGCCACAGGAAGTGGTGGAGGGGAGTACAGTTAGAAACATTTAAAAGACATTTGGATAGGTACGTGCATCGGAAAGGTTTAGAGGGATGTGGGCCAAACACCGGCAAATGGGACTAGTTCATTTTAGGAAATAAGTTGGGTTGAAAGGCCTGTTTTCATGTTGTATGACTCTGATTCTAAGTCGAATCTTAGTAACTTCTTCATTTGGGGATTATTTGGTATATTTGATTGATTGATTCTCCCTCAGGGATTGCAACAATTGGTACCTTTTACATGGCCTGTATTGTACAGTGCAAATGTTTTCATGTAAATGCTTTAAAAGATAATTAGCCATTTTCAATTTATTCTTCCTTCCCAATAGGTTTGAGAAGGGCAAAATTTATACTTACATTGGTGAAGTGGTGGTTTCCATTAACCCTTATCGTCCTATGAATATCTATGGAAAGGACACCATTGAACAATACAAGGGGCGTGAACTATATGAGAGACCACCTCACCTATTCGCAATTGCAGATGCAACATACAAAGCCATGAAGCGGAGGTCAAGGGACACCTGTATTGTCATATCAGGTAGGGAATGACTATTTTGATGAAAGATCACAGGAATCAGAGCTGGATGGCAGAAGATTCTATCTAATTCTATTTAAATAATTTACCATCAAACTGTGCATTCTGAATTTGGGGTCACCACTTTTTTGGGACAGTTGCACTTAAAGTTACTCATCTCTGCCACAAAACGTGAAACTTCATATACTGCAAGTATAAGTTAACAATCTCTCCCAGTGTGTAAGAACCTATAGTCCACTAATTTCTCCTCCTCTTGCCCCGGGCTGTGTATCTGTTAGTATGAAGCAGTGATATAGGAATTGGAGTTAATCTGGGGAGGTTCCATGTGAAGAATAAAGGGGCGTGTATTTAGATTGTACTTCCCAAACCTTCAATATGACAAAGTGCGTAGCAGCCACTGAAGCACTTTTTTTAATGTTTGTTCATTGTTGTAATGTAGGAAAACACTGCAACCAACTGGATGGCCCCAAGCACAATTTTCATTTCCTGTTTGCTCAAGATTGGCAAGTTTATGATTGTAAGGACTTGTACACGCAGTGCGTGCATTGTACATGCAGTAAAACAATGGAAGTTGCAAGTAGAGATCAGTATTTCATCCATTTCACCACTTTTCCTGATGGTCTCTGTCAAGACATCACCTATTGAATTCTGAACTTCTCCATTATAACATAGTATACTGTATGAAGGTGAGCAGCACAGTAAGGACTCTGTTAGTTACTCAAACTCCATGCTGAAGGGCACAGTTGTCCTACTGTGAGTAGAATTACTATTAGATGTTTGAAAAAAGGGGACAAGCTATGACATAAAACGATTGGAGTTTCCAATTCTTAAGGTGTTATCATGTTTAAATGGGGAGGCCGGAGGCTATTTTAACCTATGAAACAAAACAGGTTTAGAATTGGGAGAGCATAGCTTATATATATGGTTGTAGTTTGATTTGTTGACTGATTTAACACACCCAATAGTGTTTTATGCTGGAAAAATATTAATATTTGCAACAGCATGTCAGCTGTAGCTTTGTGGAGTTAAAGTTTCCTCTTTCTGGATTCCAGGGGAGAGTGGTGCTGGCAAAACAGAGGCTAGTAAATACATCATGCAGTTCATTGCGGCTATTACGAATCCCAGCCAACGTCAGGAGGTGGAAAGGTAATAATTGGAGACCTTAGTTTATGCATAATTTGAGTTATTGCTTACTTTAATAACACATACTCTAATGTTTTCTTTCGACCCTGCGTGAGAGAGAATGTTCTCATCTGACTGTTGAACAGCCAGACACACTTGATGTCTTGGGCTGATTTTTGCTGCATTCATTTGGATTAAATAATTTTATTTTAGTTACGCCACACACTTCATGATTGTCTTAAAGTCTGAACATCGTCATTCAACACACTATAACATGCTGAACATCAGCAAGCACAACACCATCTCCAGGATCAGAAACAAAATCTTGTCCTTGTAATTGCTGCCATGTGAAAAAATCCAAAAGTGATGCAATGACCTAACAATCTACTCACTTGACCTCTGAGTCTGGACGAAGTTTCTATACCCCTCTGACACCTGCACAACCTTCACCAAGTTCACTTCCTATCCTGAAAACATCAGGACTCAAATATGCCTTAAAATAGTTAGCAAAAATTCCAAAAAATACTTCATTACTTTGAATTGCAATGACTGTAGTGTGTAGATAGATTTTGTGATGTGCAGCAATATCTTACAAACAACAGTGGATGGAGAAACAATTACTTTTTTTATTGAATGAAAGAGGAATGTTGGCTGGAACATCGGAAAAACTACTTCCTGCTTTAAACAGTGACTTTGGAGCCCAACACCAGCAACAGGATTTTTGGTTGGTATGTAGGCAAAGCAAACATTGTTCTGCATGGTATTGACCAGCATGAACACAGGTATTGATTAATATAAGATGGAGTAGGGCCTCCCTTCTGATCAGAAATCCCCCCTCTAATACATTTCATGCAGTTTACTGAAAAGAGCTTTTCGCTAAGAGGAATCTCAACTCCAGAATTTATCTTAAGGATTTTGTCAATATCTTCTGACCTATTGTAACTTTTTGCATGAAATAGCTTTGTACAAATTTCAATTTGATTTATTCTCCCACCCACCACCAGCAGTATCACCAAACACACAAGATACCAATACTTTGCTAACATTGGTAAACTCCAACTGTACTAAGTCATTCGCTTTTGGTATGCTTTAATTAGAATTGATTTATAAGCCACATTTATACAGGTGGAGTGAAGAGAATGTGAGGTTTGCTGTTGAAAGCAATAAGAGGAATGCTTCAGGGATGATTTTATAGACTGCACCAATTCTCACAACCTCACAACTTGAATTATATTTTTCTGAAAACCACAATTCCAGTGAATCTGTTGTCTCAGACCTTGTGGAATTAGGGACTTTTAAAAATGATGAGCCAGTTTTTCCACCTCTGGTGGGTCATATGCAGATATGATAACAAGCAGGGAGCATTCTGCACTACAAAAAGCCAAATAATGTGTGCTGGAAATCTGAACGAATAACAAAAATGTTCAGGACTACAGATCTGTGGAGAGAGGATTAAATTAGCATTTCATTTCAAATGTGGTTCATATTTATTTTAGGGAGTTCTGGCTTATTACTTTTTACTTCAAATAAAGCAGAGCTTTAAGAAAATTTACACAGCACTCTCTGTCTAATACTCAATTGTAAGGGGAAACCAGGTATATCTTTTCTCACCAAAGATAGGACTTTTCACCATTTGAATCATTTTCAATTTTAGAACAATCTTTTAGAATGTATAGATGCTGGATTTGATCCATCAAATCCTTTGAGCCTTTTGATCCATCAGACCAAACCACAGGTGGTTTCTCAGAATGTTACCCATTAAGTAATGCCCTGTTTGTATTTGAGTTTCTCTGCAGCCCTCCAGTTCTTGGAAACTTGTTTTGGTTTGGACTGAGACCTTGTATCTGACATTTACAGAATTTTGCTCTCCACAGGACATTTTCTTAAGTCCCCAGTGCTTGAAAGTGATTTGTTTTACTTGTGTTGAACTGGATTCAACATTATATCCAGGATAAGCAATTACCAATACTTGTTACTTTTAAAGCTTGTGGGTTGCAAGAGGCAAGTCCAAATAAGAATGTATTTCGACAAGCGAGTGCCCAGTGATTATTTTTGGGATATGATGTAATGCTGTAATGATTCTTCTTTCTGTTGCAGGGTCAAGAATATGTTGTTAAAGTCAAATTGTGTACTGGAAGCCTTTGGAAATGCAAAAACCAACCGTAATGACAATTCCAGTCGATTCGGAAAGTACATGGACATTAATTTTGACTTTAAAGGTGACCCAATAGGGGGCCACATCAATAACTATCTCTTGGAAAAAGTAAGAATTGATATGACCAAATTGATTTTGCTTCTAATTAGTCATGTTTTTGGATCAAGGGAGTAAAGAGCGAATGAAAGAGAGGACGCTTAGCCAGGAGTTAGGTATCAATTCTGACTTTAGATTAGCTGACAGGTGCTAGTAGCCCATTGTTGCATGTCATCATGTGTTAATGCTGGAAGACAAATGATTGACTCAGATTCAGTGCACTGACTGGTTCCTTCTGTGCTGTAAATCTCAGTACATTAATTGTTCAACGTTCTGAGTAATCTTGAATGTTAAATCATAAAATGTGCACCGAGTTAGGATCAGGATACTGGTCAGTCTTTGAAAGGGGGAGAGCTGTTCAGGGTCTAATTACTTGTCATCAGTGTCCACATTCTGGGAATGAATACAAAAGGAAACATTTGTGACCTGTTGTTTTTTTTTTACATAAGTTATTGAATTTGCTTTTGTGACTATATTACTTGTCATTCTTCTAGGTTCCACTGTTAAAAATAATATAGCAGTTTTTGGCCACGTTTTACGTTTGAAATCTAGAATACTTGCAAAATTGTGATTTTCTCACTAAATAAATCAGACCGACTTTTACTTAATATTGAACCTGACCCAGTCTGAGAACTATGTTTGGTCATATTACCAATCTGATTAAATCTAAAGACTTATTGTGATCAGTGGGGATGGGGTGGTTTTGCAGCGGTTCGAAGGAGGATATTTGTTTTCTGGGTGTTTAACTAAAGGCCCATTTTCTTACTTTGGAGAAGAAGCCGACAATGATTCAGAGTATGCGCACGACTCGCCTGTATTCTAAATTGTGGTTGATTGATTGTGGTTTTGGATTGAAAGTGACTTAGGTTGACAGTTTCTCATCTTTTCTGTAGGTTATCTCCACTTTTTGAGATAATATATGGAGGGGAACTGTAATAAGGAAAATGGAAGAGAGAATTGATGCAATGACACAACCTTGTTTTGCCCCAGTTTCCATTAAGATAGAGTTTGTGCTAGTTCATGGCTTGCATATCAATGAGTGGGCAGAGGATAGTGACAAATGTCTGAGAGCAGCCAAATTTGAGATGATTATAATGTCAAAAACACTATAACAAGCACATGAAAAGAAGTCCTTTGTCTCTACCAGTAAACTTCATTGGCTTGATGAGAAGGGCAGAAATTCAAGACCTAATCAAGTGTAAGCATAAAATTTACATTGATCGGTAATTTCACCATAGCTGAAGAGAAATGCTGCAGTCCTACAGGTAGCTAAAGGCAGCAATAGAGTATACAGTCACAATCTAAAGAACAAATCTGGATAGAAAAAACATAGGATCCAACAACTTATGAATGCCAACAACATATTTGGTTGCTTTAGCACTTTTGAGATGATCTGCAGCCTAAGCAATAAAGGATACAATTGTTGAGAGCTGATCGTGAAGGGAAGCTCTTCAATGACGAAGAGGCAGCCAGTGCTCACTGGAGAGAAAATTCTGAAGATCATCTTGACTGAGACTGTACTGCCCTCTATCCCATTCATCAATACTCCACCCAACTCAGTCTTGGTGCTATGCTGATACACCATTTCAGGCAAAGTTGAAAAAGCCATTTGACAGGTGACAAGCAACAGATCCCCTAGACCAAATAGAATCCATTCAAAAAAATCTGAAGTACAGTGGAGATGCACTCCTCGCACAGTGGCACAACTTTATATCCTTCAATTGAGAAGAGAGCACTTACTGGGGTAGAAAAAAGTTTTAAAAATCAGTTTGCAACTTTAAATTGTTGGTTGAGTTAAAATGGCAATACATTTTCGCTCCTGCTGCTGTGAAAATGAAAGGTGATATGAAGCACAATTGGAATTTTTCTACTTCCAGTCACAAAGCTATGAAATAGCTACAGAAATCATGAGCAAAGAAAAGTGGCAATATGGCCATTGCTGCTGGACAAAGAGTGCTACAAGTTGTATTGCAGCCTAGATCTCACTGAGGAGTGGAAAAGCTAGGCTCCAGAGATTCTGAAGACTTTGATACACCCTTTGCACTGTATTAATGTTACTTTTGAATTGTATGGATTTCGTACCAGAGCTCAGAGGAAGAGAGACTATATATGAAAGCACTGTTATATTAAGCTGAACCTTGAGAGTTTGGGCAACTGAGAGATGTCCTCATCAGAAAGCAAAAATATCTTAGGTGTAAGAGATCATCTCTGCTGAGAGAGGATGGGTGATGGCCCTCAACTCTCAAATGAGGGACTCAGCCACTTCCGAAAGGAATTTGGGAAATTGAACACCATCCATTATCATTCCATTTGACTGGCAATATCGTGAAGTCTAAGGTGGGAGTGAATATTGCTAAAGGGATCATTTTAAAAAAAAAAAAGTCTAGCAAATCCAGTATAGGCTTGTGCAGGGCAAATTTGAGAAGAAAAATACACATACTGAAAGCATGAACTGTTGTTCGTTCCAACAACAGGTGTCATGCTGCACCAAAATGCTTCTTGTAATAGTGAAATAATAAAATTTCAATAATAGTAAAAATCCTATTGATGGCAGAGTACCAAAGGGTGAGTGCAAAAAATCAAGGTGAAACAACAACTGAATTTCACTTCGATTTAAACTGCCAGTCATTTCAGGAGGTGAGCGATTGAGAGTCAGTCAGAATGAAAATGTTACACCATCTAGTGATTTGAGAACCACATAGTGACTTGAGAGCTGTGTTGAGCAGTTTGTTACTTTGTATGCAGTGAAAGTGAACAATCAATCAAACACATTAATGTAACTGCAGACATTTGTGTATAACTAGAGCAGCTGTCCCTTTGCAGCACGCAACTGATGTGGCTCTCTGGGACAGATGACCAAGTTCCCCAGCAATAGAAATGGATCAGTTATAACTGTTACCATGGCAACAATGCTTCTGGGAATTAAAACCCTATCATAGCAGCAACTTGATACCAGTCAGCCAATGACCGTTGCGCACACAGACTATAGGATACCTGTATGACATAAAGACTATGTATGCAATGCTTGTATACAGACTAGAGTTAATACTGTTAATACTGATAATGAATTAAATTTTCTTTGTTACTATGTATATTGAGTAACTTGTGCAACTTGTAACTGAAAATAAGAGTGCATGGAATTTATTTGTGTAAAAGATGATGTTTGGAGAAATGCCATTGAACTTGACTTATTGGCTGACTTGCCATTGTGATTTGACCTCTGACTTCAGTTGTAAGTGCCTTTATGTGCAATTTGGCAGCCATTACAAATGTAGAATCATAGAATCCCTACAATGTAGATAGAGGCCTTACGGTCCATCAAGTCTGCACTGATCCTCTGAAGAGCATCCCACACAGATACTGGGAGAACTTGCAAACTCCACACAGGCAGGCATCACAGGCTGGAATCAAACGTGGGTCTTGGGCCATGAAAACATGGTAATTCCTAAAGATACTTTGCCTGAAATGCGTAAATTGTGACTAAATAAATTGAAACTTCAAACTCAAACAGGAAACATAGGGTGTAGGTTCAGTGCTTCCTTGGGCAATGTTTTCCTGCTAGTTTCTGCTGACGAGTACCCATTTTGAGTTTAGTCATATTTTACTCATGGGAAGAATACTTGCTGTTTTGTTTTTTAACTTTGCTTACTTTCTCCGGGGTTTACACAACCGTGCAGAATTAGTATTTTCAGCTTTATTGGTTATTCCATTGGCTAAATGGAGTTATTGTGAGAGAATTAAGTATTTGCATATGTGGCATCAATGAATCTGTTGTAAATTCTGGAGAGATGTTGCTTTATCTAAAACTTTAATGGTTCTTGTTTGACAGTCTCGTGTTATAGTGCAACAGCGAGGAGAACGAAACTTCCACTCTTTTTACCAGGTTGGTGTCAACAAATAAATACATGATTCATAATCTGATCGGATAATTCAAATCCTTGTGAAATGTTTCATTATGGGAGCAGACGGGGCCTCAGTTTAAAGTATCATTTAAAGGATAGCACCTCTGATATTGCACATTCCTTTAGTACTCTGCCTTTTGGTGTCAGCCTGGATTAAGTACTTTTGGGCAGGAAGTCTGGCTGATTACTTACCCAGAAGTGCTGAAGCCATGTATTGGGTCCCAGTGTACTGTTGGTGAGATCAGCCTACTTCACATAGACTGGGAATGAAGACTTGTGATCTGATATGAGGCTGGCTGTTTAGTGGCCATTTGGAGAATTTGCCCATTCCTGATGCAGTACTAAAAGCCTGTTCCTCTCGCAATGCTTAGCTAAGGGTCCTGATAAATAAAGAGGCCTTACAGAACTGCTAAAGCCCCAGAGTGGTCTGACTGGTCATTTGAATCTTGCAATTTTAAAAACACACTAACCTTAATAAAACGACCAAGTATACTTTAGTAAAATGGTTCTTGTGGCACAGTGGTAATGTCCCTGTCTGTGAACCAGGAGGTCTGGTTTCAAGTCCCACCTGCTTCAGAGACGTCATAAAACATCTGAACAGTTTGATTTTAAAAATATCTATTTTAGCATACCAAATAGTGTACTGTACAAGTTGTGTTTCACTAGCACTGTGAAGCTTGTGTTTCAAGAGCAATGGAAATGGCAAAACAGTCAAACCAACATGGAAGAGACTAACCAAACTAGGGAATGAGGGTATTTGCAAATGGACACTGCAGGTTATTGGCCTCACCAAGACTATTTCCGCAGGATGGAAATAATATTTGATGTTGGCATAAATCCTCCTTATGTACTTTAATTTTAAAATGATGTGTTCCCATTTTAGTTATTGTTGGGTGGTCCTGAGAAACTGCTACGAACTTTGCACATTCAGAAAGATCCAACCGCCTACAACTTCATCAAGGGTGGAGGAGTAGTGAAGGTAAGGTTAATGAGTAAGCAGAGGGAGAAATCAAACAACTTTTTGTTTTGCTTCCTTTCATAAAAATTATGCAACAACTGGCATGCAACAGCACTGCAGAGTTTAAAAAAAATCTTTTTTCCAAAATGTGGAACTGGAAATTTGCTGTTTATTTCATGCATCCTTCCTATCCGTCTGGAAACACTTCAGTCAATGGGAATTGGCAAGAATCAGTCCTTCCTTGTTTTAAAGACCACTGCACCTAAACAGGCATTTCCCTGCCTTATCCATACTGAATCATTCAGATCAGGCCTGGGATTGTTGGCTGGCTCGTCGCGGGGTGGGAAAGAGGCATCTGGCAGGTTGCCATTACAGCTGAGCACAGTCTCATGCCTCCGTTCATGTATGTACCCTTGCACAAGGAGTCAGTCATTTGAGACCAGGAGCAGAAACACAAGCTAACTGTATCCTCCCAGATCCAGGGATTTTTCTGTAAATTGTAACAGCAACAGGTACAAACCTGACTGAGATGAACTAGCTGGGCCCTTTTAGTCCCCATAATGGTTGAATGATCTTGCTAATTTCTTTGGAGAATCTGAGGATTGTTTGTTATTATACCGTACATGCACAATAACTTGATTGGGACATATTGAATGAAGATGTTTTTACATAATGTAGAGCTGTGCTGTATTAGGAAGCTGCAGTCTATTTACACTGATTGCAAAATATTTTCCTAACTTTTTAAATTATCCTTTGCACACAGTCTGCTATAAACGATGCTGCAGAATTTAAAGCTGTCGCAGATGCCATGAAAGTGATTGGTTTCACTGCTGAAGAAATTCAGACGGTCTATAAAATTCTGGCCACTATTCTGCACCTGGTAGGTCTTTCTGTTTCTGCGGTGAGTGATTGTTCACTGAAAAGGTGTATTGAGGTATCTGTGTAGGCTGGATTTCTGTGATCAGTACTGCAACAATCATCTCCAAGTATGTTCAAGCTGACCCGCTAGGAGCATTGCGCCAGAACATAAACTAAAGCAACGTATTTTCTGGATAGGACTAAGGCAGACATAGTCGTATCGCACTGAAGCAGACCCTTCAGTCCAGCTTGTCCATGTCGACCAGATATCCCAAACTTAACTAGTCCCATTTGCCTGCCTTTGGTCCGTATTCCTCCAAGCCTTTCCTATTCATGTACTTGTTCAAATATCTTTTAAATATTGTAATTGTACCCACCTCTACCACTTCCTCTGGCAGCTCATTCCACACATGCACCACCCTGCTGTGTGAAAAAAGTTGCCCTTCAGCTCCCTTTCAAATCTTTCTTGTCTCACCTTAAACCTATGCCGTCCAGTTTTGGACTCTCCTACCCTTGGAAAAAAACCTCGGCTATTCACCTTACCAATGCCCCTCATGATTTTATAAACCTTTGTAAGGTCACCCCTCAGCCTCCGACGTTCCAGGGGAAAAAAGTCCCAGCTTATCCAGCTTCTCCTTTTATACCTCAAACCCTCCAGTCCTGGCAACATCCTCTGAATTTTTTCTGCACTCTTTCTAGTTTCACATCCTTCCAACACTAGGGCAACCAGAATTATACACAGTATTTCAAATGTAGCCATATCAATGTCTTGTAAAACCACAATGTGACATCCCAACTCCTGTACTCAATGCTCTGACCAATGTAGGCAAGCGTGCCAAACGCGTCCTCCATCACCCTGTCTCCATGCGATGCTGCTTTAAGGAATTACGCATCTGCACCCCTAGGTCCCTCTGTTCAGCAACACTCCCTGGGCCCTACCATGAACTGTGTAAGAAATGTGAATGTACAGCAGATTGGATTTGGTGAAGGTAGAAACTTTATTTCTCCCTTATTCTTCAAGGAGTTGATAACCAGGTTAAAGGATATCAATTTACAAATCTCTTCAGATCTTGTGGTTTAATTGTTTTGGATTTCATGTTAACTTTGCTGATTCCCTCCAACATAAGAGGCTTAAAGTCTATCACTTCAGCCACTCCCTTGGTCATCTCAATTGTTGCTATAATAACAAGAGTACAAGAGGAAGTGGAACAAGAGTAGTCCATTTGGCCCTTTCACCCTGCTATTTAATACTTTCCTGGATGGTCTATGTCATTCCACCTTCCTGAACAATCCACGTTATCTATTAATTCCCTTAATATCCAGAAACCCATTGATCTTCATCTCTGTGTACTCGCTGACTAACTGGGCCTTACCTTTGAGGGAGATAATATCAAAGGCCTACAAAAAGCAGATTACTACCTGAATGGCTGTAAATTGGGAGAGGGAGTGTGCAGCGGGACCTGGATGTCCTTGTGCACCAGTCGCTGAAGGTAAGCTTGCAGGTGCAGCAGGCGGTGAAGAAGGCAAATGGTATGTTGGCCTTCATTGTGAGAGGTTTTGAGTACAGGAGCAGGGATGTATTGTTGCAGTTATGCAGGGCCTTGGTGAGACCACACCTGGAATATTGCGTGCAGTTTTGGTCTCCTTTTCTGAGGAAGGATGCTCTTGCTCTCGAGGGAGTGCAACAAAGATTTACTAGGCTGATTCCGGGGATGGCGGGTCTGACGTGTGAGGAGAGATTGACCAGGTTGGGATTGTTTTCATTAGGGTTCAGAAGAGTGATGCGGGATCTCATAGAGACTTATAAAATTCTAACAAGACTGGACAGGGTAGATGCAGGGAGGATGTTCCTGATAGTGGGTGTGTCCAGAACCAGGGGTCACAGTATGAGGATTCCGGGTAGACCATTTAGGACGGAGATGAGACATTTCTTCACCCAAAGAGTGGTGAGCCTGTGGAATTCATTACCACTGGAAGTAGTTGATGTCAAAACATTGAATGTATTCAAGAGGAGGCTAGATATAGCACTTGGGGTGAATGGGATCAAAGGTTGTGGGGAGAAAGCAGGATTAGGCTATTGAGTTGGACGATCAGCCATGACAGTGATGAATGATGGAGCAGGCTCGAAGGGCTGAATGGCCTCCTCCTGCTCCTATCTTCTATGTTTCTGTGAAGAATTAAGAAGAAGATAAAAGAAGCAACAATGATATGAGGAACACCTTTTCGTGCAATGATTTGTTTGGATCATTGCCTGAGAGTGTTGGTGGGCAGGTTCAATTGAGGGATTTGGATTGGTATCTGTAAAGAAAGAATCTGAAAGATTATGGGTAAAGGGATAGGGAATGGCAAAAGGTAAATTGCTTCATTGGATAGGCAGCACAAATCAATAGGCTGAATAGTGTCCTGTACTGTCCTATTTCCATGATAAAATCCCTGATCCTAGTGCATTGCTTCCACACATTTTAATAGAATATTGGGAAGAGGTAAAGCATTATTACTTTTAAGAATAGGTTCGAGAAAGGCCTTGTTAGGAGGGGAAGATGATGGTCATCTATTTAGTGAGAATGGGGTCAAGGGAACAGGAGGTAGTTCTCTCAGACAAGAAGACTGAAAAAGGCCTGTGGCATGTGTGCCTTCATTGGAAGGGCATTGAGTATAAGGATAGGCAAGTTGTGCTGCAGCTTTACAGAACTTTAGTTAGGCCACACTTGGAATATTGTGTACAGTTCTGGTCACCATTACCAGAAGGATTTGGATATTTTGGAGAGAGTACGGAAAAGATTTACCAGGATGTTGCCTGGTATGGGGGATTTTTTTCCCAGGTTGGAGGGGTTGGTTACCAAGGGACAAAGATTCAAGGTGCGGGGGGACATTTAAAGGAGATGTGATGCAAGTTTCCCACACACAGGGTGCCGAGTGCCTGGAATGTGTTGCTGGAGGAGGTGGTGGAAGCAGACACAATAGCAGCATTTAAGAATCACCTGGACGAATACATGAAAAGGAAGGGAATAGAGGGATATGAAGGGCAAAATGTGTCAGTGCAGGCTAGGAGGGCAAAGGACATGTTCCAGTGATGTCTTGTTCTCTGTTTAATGTTCTCCGTTCTCTGTTCTTTGCTCTAAAAAGAGAACATGGGGGAAAATCTAAGTTTAGGACTGGGGCAAGCTAAAAGGAAATTTTGCTGGGAAGGCTAATCGGTACAAAAGTGGGAAGTAGCAGAAGAAGCTGATTGGATGGCCTTGATGTTGGTGACAAAGAAGTTCCTGAGCATCTTGCACTTGTTGGAGGTGAAGTCTTGAAGGAACTGTTGTGTATTATGCCTCAGAGATCTGTAGATATGACTCTCATCAGGTACTTTCTGTGAACAGGAGCTTTATTGCTAATACATTGTTTCGTCTGCCTACTCATACTTGCTGTTGAGTTTCAGTTTAACTGACAGGCTTAATTCCAGAACACGACATGGTGAATAGTCAACAGACATGCACAATCAAACACTGAACAACTGACCAATTGAATACAACTCGGACAGGGGAGAGTACGGAATTACTTGAAGTGACAATACTAATTAAAGAACCACTAGAAAATAAATGAAGCACCCAGAATTATTTCCAGTAGGACATTGTTAAAATATAGAGAAATTGCAGTTGTGAAATCTTTGTTAAACCATCCTTCAGATGTAATGAATTGTGTGCTGTACTCCTAGATATATTATTCAAAGGATATAGCAGCGTTGCTGAATTAAAAATGGATTTCCAAGCAAAGTTAAACATGTCGGGTCTCCTTTTGAAAAATGAAGACTGGGATTTGATCATATTCAAATAGGAAAATCGTAGAAATGTGAATCGTGCTGTTCCCCACATGTGGAAATTCCCAATTAGTGGTTATCAGTATAAGACAGTTAGCAAGAAATTCAAACACATTCTGAAGCAGTTTCTTTACCTGCAGACTGGTACAAATGTGGAAATTGCAGTCCTAGGGAATAGTTGAGCTGAGAGGTATTTTAACGAAGATTCAGTAAGTACGTGATTGAGGAACGAATGATGGGTTATGTTGGAAGAGTAGGATGTAGGGAAGAGTGCAGGGAGGCTTGATTGGAGCTTAAACATGGATGGACTGAATTGCCTGTTTCTCATATATTTTTATATAATTCTGTGCATTTTAGAATGATTGAATACTTACAGTGCAGAAGCAGGCCATTCAACCCATCAAGTTCACACTGCTGTCCAAAGAGCATCCCACCCAGATCCACCCCTGTCCCTATAACACTGCAATTCTCATGGCTAATCCACTTAGCCTCCACTCTATGGGCAATTTGGCATGGCCAATCCACATAACCTGCATATCTTTGGACTGTGGGAGGAAACAGAGCACCCGGAGGAAACTCTTGCAGACATGAGGAGAATGTGCAAACTCCATGCAGACAGTCGCCCAAGGGTAGTATCGAACCTGGGTCCCTGATGCTTTGAGGCAGCAGTGCTAGCCACTGTCTGCCCACTGCTGTTTTTTGGAACAAAGGGGAAATAACGCATAAAAATACTTAACAAGCTTAATGATGTGATGAAATTAACCTTGAATAAGATCAGACACATTGAATCTGAATGGCCACCTCATCCATGGTCACGAGCATAAAGGGTTACGGAGATTAGGCAGGAAAGTAGAGTTGAGACTGAGATAGGACCAGTCGCAATTGTATCAAATGGCAGAGCAGGGTCCAGGGGCAATGTTGCCTACTCCTGCTCCTAGTTCTTGTATTCTGTTCATTAAAGCCTAATAAGTTTCAAAAAATGGTATCAATGTGGATTTCACAAGTTTCAAAATCTCCCCTCCCCCCACCGCATCCCAAAACCAGTCCAGCTCGTCCCTGCCTCCCTAACCTGTTCTTCCTCCCACCTATCCCCTCCTCCCACCTCAAGCCGCACCTCCATCTCCTACCGACCAACCTCATCCCGCCCCCTTGACCTGTCCGTCCTCCCTGGACTGACCTATCCCCTTCCTAACTCCCTACCTACACTCACCTTTCCT